TCGTCCATCTCCTTAACAATGTCTAGGCGGTGGGACATGACGGAAGATCGGTTCTCGCGCGTCTCTCTCACTGACAGAAGAAAGTTTCGGCAGGCTTATTCCCCGGTCATGTCCGCTGAGATCGCAAGATATTTCCTCTCACCGCCGTGGAGCTCACGAAGGTAACGAATCTGTGAGGGGTGAGTCGGCATAGGTGTGGTATTCTATATTCGCCGACCGTCGGGTGCGAGCAGTGTTATTTGTTAAACTGCAGCCCCCCCCCCCCCCCCCTTTTCTTCGTTCGCCTGTTTGTATGTAGTTCGCAAGTCGTATGGTATCATGTAATAATGGAATGTCGCCTCCCCATTCATTCATTCAGTACACATTGATCCAATCGAAAAAATAAACCCTATGGCGCCGCCGCCTGTAGTTCGCAAGCCCTAAAATTCCGAAAAAAGAAAGGAATCCACCCCCGTTCCTAATAAGGTAGGTACCACATACCCCTCTTGTGCCTCGTGTTATCGAAATGCTCAAGATGTCGATCCGTTCAATGTGCACTTGCTCGGAGCTGCAGACCAGCCTAGCAAGCGATTGGCAACATCAGAAGAGTAGCAGTGAGTCGCAACTCCAGCCTGAAGCAAGCCAGAGCTGTCCAAGGAGCCTGAGTTGTAGATGCGTGCGGCCTTGTAGTATCGCGAGACATCGCCGGTGCCAGCTTTGGCGAGTGCTGCGGTGAGGCTTGTCGACCCTTCGCCTGTTCCGTCGGTGCCGTCTTGGATCATTTGTGTGATGTCGCTGGCTGGGCACGGGTTGACTGGCTGTGGCGCGACTGCCGTCCCAGGATTACAGGTTCCAATTCCTTGGTATGATTGCATGAGTCCAGGATTCGTGACGCTGTAGCTGGTGGTCGGAGCGCGAACGCAGCCGTTGCTCTCTTGCAACATGATGGCAAGGATGAAACGCGCGTCGACGCCGCTGCTCTGGGCAACTGTCTCGATGCTGGATTTGAGGTCCGAGATTTCTGCGGCCGAGTTGTCCGCCACGTTCCACTGCTTGCATGAAGTTGACATGAGGTTCTGATTCACCTCGAAGAGCTGGTCTAGAGACAGCCAGCTGTCTTCCGTAGGCCAACCCTCGTCTGGCTTGCCGGTGCCCAGATATTCAGCGTACTGCACAGAGTCAGAGGAAAGTCTTGAGGTGCTTGATGGCGCAGCAGCGGAAGAGGAGGCGGCGTAGGTCGGAGCGGAGGATGATGACAGAGAAGTGGCTTCAGGTGCAGCAGCTGCCGATGCGGATGATGACGGCAGAGAAGTGGTTTCAGTGCAAACAGATCCGGCCGTGACCGTCACGGTCAAGAAAGTCGATAGCGAGACCGTTGATAGCGATGCCGGGATGCTGAGAGTACTCGTATCTGCACACTTCCCGTAGGCTGGCTGGCACCCTTCGCCAGAGTAGGCTGGGTCGGAAGAATCTCCACAATAGCCCCATTCGCTGCAGGACTCGCCAAATTGACTGCCGAGGCAGGTCTGCGTAGCGGAGCAGAGACCATCAGTCGACACGGTGAGGTCGGAGCGAGGTGTAATAGTCACAGACATGGCACTGCTGTGTGTCGGATTCGGGTGTGGTTCAGGATGTAATGTGCGCGACAAGAGCGCGGGAATGATGCTTGGCAGATGCATTGTGTTGGTGTTGAAGGCGCGTCTCGAAGTGTGTCGCAAAGGAGATGTTGAAGACAGTGGTGAGTCGGAGTGTGTCTTGAGATATGAGCAGAGGAAAGGACTCTTAGCGCGAGCATGTGCTTTTATGTCTGTGCTCAAGGCTCAAGGTGAACCAGATGTGAAGCAAGTGAAAGATTGTTCTTGGCACATGATGAAAGTGAATATTGCTCTTGGGTTCACGGGAATTGACGGAAAGACACCGCTTTCCCAAAAGAGACACAAGGCCATTGTCCTATGGCACCAACATACCGAGACATGGTGCAACGCGGCACATAGTTGGTGTATTGTTGCCGCCTCTTGGGTGTAAAGGGTTGATAGAGAACATAGATCGGCACAAGCTGCTTTACACTCCCAGTGTCCAGGCGCCTACAACGAGCTTGCGTGTGTGGAGCCTTTCACTTTCTTTCTACGGTTGTGATCTCTCTCGCATCTTATCGGTCGGCAATGAACAGCAGAGCTCTTGATCGTGTATGGCGTGAGAGCGCCAGTCATGAACATGATTGAACATCACAAGCTCGTCAGAAAGCCGGCTGAGGAAGTGTGGTGGATTCGCTGTGCAGAGCTGCTTGTGCTGGTGATTCTCACGGAGTGCTGCTGCAGCGTACGGCAGGCTGCCAATGCCGTGTCGACCACCAATTTGTCTTCAAGAACAGTGTTGTCTTCGAAATCAAGTGTGGCTCGCAACGATCCGCAGTCGAGTGTCCTGGCCATCCCACCGTCTCCGCCGTACTCAACGCCGCGATCGTTGCTCAGAAGCCGAAGGAGAGGCCGGAGCTGCAGCAGAGCCTCAGCGTTTCACTGCCGCCGTCATCACGCACGAGCTCTGTGATCAGCACTACTGCCGCCGGTCTCAATGCTGCTCACCCAGAAGCTGGTCCGAGCTGCGCAGGGTCAAAAGGGGGAACTTTCGCTCCTAAACTTCTTCTCTTTTCCTTCTCATCTGCTTGGTGTGGTCTCTCCCTGGTCTGCTATCCATCAGGACTCCATTAGCATGACCACTGAGACCGGTCAACACCCAGAACGAACGGAGGCCACATTTCTTAACAGAGATGATTTGCTCGACCTCGTGTCATTCCATGAGCAACGATCATTAGAAAAGTGGCCGACATACAACTTTTCATCATGTTGTTGCCTTTCGCAGCTGCTTGGAGAAGAGTCTTCCACCCTGTGACGCCTTCTATGTTGACTGAATCGCCGACCTTTCTGTTGTCTTTGTCCACGATCGTGCCCGCTGCCATGCCCGCTGTTATGGGTTGTTTGTGTTTGCTGTGAGGAATGCCAGCCATGAAGGCGACGTGCTCGCAAAGCGGTCAGAGTAGCAGTGCTACATGTCCTCGCCTCATCTGCCACTGAGAACGGACAGCGAGAGGTTTGCCTTAGGTTGCCGTCAACAGCGCAGCAGTCTTCATCGATGACAGCGGCATGTCTGGGAAGTCTCCGAACCACAACTGTATCTCCATCAATGATTCATCCAAAACGCAAGAAGCTGACGGTGCGTAGCAAAGTATCACCAAGCCTGCGCGGCGGCAGGAGTCGAAGAAGCGACGAACACCCCTACCGCCAACAACCAGCGACAAGCGAGGGCCACCCGAAAGACAGCCACCGATTGCGGTCTGGCGACAACATTCGCGGCATTACCAGTGACCTTCATCAAGAAGTAAGCAAGGCTTCGTCGCGCCCAATGCTCCACCAACATCCAAGCCGACTGAGCGGAGCACACATCTGAAAACTCCACCTACACCAGCGGTCTGGCGGAGCAAGAGGCTCAGAGCGACGGCAGGGCCATCAAGAAGGCGGACGATGCCAGTGCAGAAAGACTCTTGCGATAGAGTGCCAATCCACGGCGTATTGGGAGGACTTCTAGCAAACCGAACAGCGCATTGGAGCGCCATGCTAGTCTTACGTGTGCTCTCATTAAGCCAGAGCCAAGGGCTAATAGACATCAAACCGGGAAGAGCTGCGCAAAGAGCTGCGCCAGCGTGGACCTGCCAACAAGAAAGAGCACTCCGGACATCAAAAGCTTTGACAGCACCCAAGCGGATGCTAATCATTGCTACGCCACCTATTGGGAAAATGGCAGCACAGTCATTTGTTGCGGCGGTCTGCAAGGCTGCGGGAACGCCGACCTGCCAGGCAGTTGATCATCGTCCAGTTCCAGCAAGAATATCTGCCACAAGAAGCGTCTGGCGAGTGATCATAGCTCGTCAGGCGACATCTCGGCACATGCGGAGCGGAATAATATCGCCTACCATTGGAGGGTCACTGCCAGAGTGTGATTCGATAATGCGGCATTGTCCCCCTCTGGTATGTGAATCTGCTCAGGTATTAGGGAAGTCCCAGAGCGCACCTGACAGAGTTGTTGCCTGAGATTTGATCAAATATACACCCTAGAGATCGATCTTGAGCTCCGTGCATGCTGCGTATGAGAGAAGTCTTCCCATGGAGCAGTATATGTGGTGTATGGTGAGAGGACTAGGTCTATTCGTGGCTTTTTCTTTCGAAATTGAAGCGTTTCATGGCTTGGCAATCGCAGTATTGCGATCGAGGATCCAGTAAGACGCGATAAAGTCGGTCAATCCAGGACGATGACGCTATTGATTGATATGATCATAGAAGTCAAGCCGGAGCAGATCCAAAACTGAATGTCGATTCCAGTCTCCCAGTATGTCGGATCAACCGATGGCTTGTCTCGACGAGGAGTTGGGACTATGGAGTGCCAATGGGACGCCATTTGTCGTATCTCCTCGGATTACGCCGCGCAATCCAGATTTATATTCAGCTTCTGTGTCATTCATGTACTCGACATACACTCGAGCCGTGTATGACCTCGGCGCATCTTCATGTCGATTGCAGATCCAACGCGCTTACTGCAGGATTTCCATCTCTTTCCCCAATTCGTCGGTCCGTCAAAAAGGCCTGACATGAGCGAAGAGACTTGGCTGATTCGTATGAGGCGCTCAGTGCGGAGAACAATCGGATCTTCGTCGCTATAGTCCGTCCGGCGAGAGAGCAGTCGTCGTCGTGAGCCTGCATCACCATAGCTCAGACCAAGCAAACGCAGAGAGCACCGAGCTGCTCGCTTCGGAATGTCGCTGCGATGGGAAAGCCATGCTGATCGCGCAGAATCTCGGTGACCGATATTCACGGGATTGTGAAGATGGATGGTTGTGCTTGGTTCGTAGGAAGCTGGGCAACACGAGAGCGGACGAGGTGAAGTCGGAGTTAGGTCCGATGAAAAGTGCAAGGACCATCTAAATACTACAAGCCTATCAAATGCACCTCCGAGTCTCGAGGCCTTCTCAGGATTACTCGCTCATTTCACGCCATCGTCGAAGCCCAGCTGCCCAGCTCTCAATCGCAGTCTCAAAGTCATTGTGGTCCGGCAAGAGGTGGGCGAAGCAGCGAAGGTGATAATAAGGACACGCGGTCGCTTGGAGGGCTCCCAGCAACGCGATTGAGAACAGTCGTAGCTGCCAGGAGCATCGACAGTATCGCAGCAGAACGCGCTATAGCCATGGACGCCGTGGGCAGTAATGACATCGCGACATGGGAGACACGAGATACATGGGCTCTGGTTTATGGCAAACATGAACGCTACTTCATAGCTTCACCGCCGACTTTAAATACTCCTGCATCCTATCAAGCATGCGCCAACAACCAGCCTCCATCGATCACCAATGTCGACCCAGTAACATATCCATTGCAAGCAAAGTTGAGCACAGCCTGCGCATAGTCTCGTGCATGACCAGCTCGACCAAACGGAATACCCCACCCATCATGTCTTCGGAAGTGTTCCTTAGCCTGGCCGTCATCATTCGCGATTGGCGTCATTTCAGAGGGGAAGTATCCCGGTGCGAGCGTGTTGACACGAACCTCGATACCAGGTCGCTTGAAGTCGACAGCGAGCTGTTCTGTTACGCTGATGGTTCCGGCCTTCGACGCGTTGTAAGAGAACTGGCCGTTTTGGCTTTCTTTGGTGATGCCAGAGATCGAAGAGATGTTCAAGATTGACCCAGCTTCCGCATAACCATGATCACGGGCAGCACAAAGCAGAGGTAGGAATGCTGCTGAAGTGAAGTAGTAGCTTGCCACGTTGATCTTGTAGACACTTAGCCAGTCGTCGAAGGTTTGGTTGCTCATCATCTCTTTGCTAATGTCCTCGACACTGCCTGTAGGTAGGCCGCCCTTGCCATAATTGACAGATGTGATGCCTGCGTTGTTGACAAGCAGATTGACGCATTTCTCCTTCTCTGCAATTGTCTTAACGCCAGCTTCGATGCTTTGCTTGTCGGTACAATCCATCTGGAACCCAATGATAGAGCCACCGCTCGCTTTATCGGTCAACTCGGCTTCCTTCAGCTTTTCCACCCTTCGACCTGTGATGTACACTTTCACTCCATTTGCGGCAAGACTTCGAGCGGTAATCAGGCCTAATCCGGTACCACCACCTGTGACAACAGCTACCCATCCTTTGGTATTGAAAAGAGAGGCTGCTGCAAGCTCGCTGATGTCTGCCATTTTGTCAAGTCCGGTTGTTCAATCGAATTTCCAGGTTGGATTGTAAAAATCCCCACCTGATTGTTGTTTACTCTCAACGACAAGCCGCCCATGAGGAGCCGGTTAAATGCGATGGCACGGCTTTTGGCGGAGGGGCTCTGATTCGTTGGCCATGGTCGAAGTTCCTCCGATTCTATGTAGCTGCTCTCACCTTGCAGGGCGACTGTCAACCTTTGAAAGTTTTCGTTCACAACATCATCTCTTCTTCATCATACGTGGACCCTTCATCACAGGAAGAGACTCCACCTCCCTTAGACTCGCACGTCCTCTTGCGAAGGCAAAAGTGTTGGCAGACGCTCCGACTGTCGGTTTGTCGGAGCTCACAGGCACCAGCATGTGGTCAGCGCAACGAGAGTCATCTTAAGACATATTGAAACAGGTAGATGTACAGAGTTGGTAGAATGGCATTCCCACTGCATTTCTCATTCACTTCCACATTGTCTTGGCGCGTTTTGCCACTACTTTTGACCCCTGAGGCTCTGACCGGCATCTTCCAAGTTCCAACCACTTGGCCACGCTGCAAACCTTCTGCACGAAACGCGAACCCTCAACTTCCATCGCCATGGCGGACTCAGCAGTGGTACGAGGAGAGTTTATCTACCGCGACGTGCTGCTTGTCGACGTGGGCGGCGAAGGCAAGAGACATGCTCGAGCGGCTCCATCAGAAATTCGGGACCTCTTAAGTGGCAAGGCCAAAGACCAAGTCGGCCATTTTTATGAAGCGCAACTCATCCACTATGGCCTTCAGCGCTCCAAGGTCAAGGACACGGCGAAAGTCCGCCTGCAACAAGCGCTGTCCCAAGGCAAGCTGAAGGCTCAGCCGGCACATCTGGCCGATATGGAAAGCTCCATGAAAAAGGAGTACGCCGCGGCATTGCGCAGAGCCTCGAAAGCAGATTCTGGGAAGGGCACGAAGAGGGCGCGAGAAGACGACGTCGAGTCCTCCGCGAAGAAGACCAAAGTCAGTGTTCGAGTCGGCGACATTTCTATCGACATCGACCAGGCTGGTGCTACCTCTTCAAAGAAGCAGAAAACAACGCCCGCCAAAGTTGAAGCTCCAAAACAGCTCACCAAGACTCCTGCAACGAAGGCAAGTCAGGCCAAGTCGGCAGTTGCTACCATGACGCCACATGCAGGCGTTCAGAAGACTCCATCAGCTGGTCGTACAAAGCAGACCGCCCGCAAGTCAGCACCATGGAGTGGTCCATCTTACCAAGAGTTTCCAGACGGGCCTCGACAAGATCCACGCAATGACCCGGAAAATGTCTTTCAACGCTCATCGGGTGGAACCCCGAAGACCTCAGCTACAACAAAGAAGGAAGCGAATGTCAAGAAGGAACCTCATATCAAGCGAGAGCCAACCGGACCTCGGAGCACGCCCAGCATCCGGCGCGCTTCGCCCATCAAGCATGAAGGCTATCTCTTCGATCCGGATGCCATGGATACTCGAGCCGACATTTCCGAACGTCAACTAAACATTACTGGCGTCTACACGATATCCTGCCCTCAAGTCGCCGAGCAGCTTCCAGAAGAAGCCGACAACTTCCGCCTGTTCATCTGCGTCGACAATGAGAGCGGAATTACTTGGGGCGGCTTCGAGATTGCGATGAAGTCTGGCAACATCAAGATGGACGACATCGACTTTGCCAGGTCTGTGAGTTTTGGATGGCGTGCGAGGGATAGTTGGGAGGGCGGCCTGAGATTCGGAAAGGGCTGCTTTGGGGAAATCGCCTTTGAAGGCAATGGCAATGTTCGTGGCACGTTTCACGGACTCTTTAACGAAAGTATGGAGTTTACTGGCCGCCGTCGCACAGGACCACTCTGGGCGGGAAAGAGTGCATACAAGTTCAAGCAGGAATGGGATGCATTTCCCAAGGAGGCATATGGTGACTGAAACTGAACTTGGCGTTGAATCCATTGCCAAATTGGCCCATACTCTTCTTGTTGGATACCAAATCACATTGACGGTTGCTGGACTCCGGCTGAGATAGAGCCTCCTTCTGCAGAAGGCATTGGACTGCATATGACATTTGAACCGAGCTGCCGATTTCAAGACCACCTCATCATTTCGCTCTCGAAGATTTCTTAAACCCCAGTGCCCATCGCCAAGCTCTATCTTTACGACGGTGGTCCGTCAGTGATGGTTGGTGAAAGAATTTTTTAGGTAAGGTAACGCATTCGAAAACTTCGGTGTAGAACGAGATGGGCTGAACGTAACGAAGTACGGCCTGAGACTGCTGAGCCTATCAAATGCATTACTTTTGTCCGTGCTACAAGTCAATCGTCGGCGAAGCGTATGGCGTTGTCGTGAAGAGATGACTTTCTGTCTCAATTTTAACTGTCGACTATTTCTCTCCCATATCAAACAACAAGAACTCAGCTGGCCTATCCCCAACACTCCTGACCTCTATCTTCCCCGGTGCTTTCGCACCTTTGACAAATGCTCCATCGCCTTCCCCAAGTTCGACGCCGCCAACTTCAATCTTCGCACCGCCGCTGTTCGGCTGCTTGCGATCACTCATGACGACGTGCACATACACATTACGATCTCCAGCGCCCACAATCTCATGCTCCACGCTCTTGCCAGGAGCTAAGATGCTAGCATCCATACTCAAATCCGCATAAATCGGAATCGGCTCTGTCGCGCCATCTGTACCACTATGCCGATCCGTCGACTCCACCATCCTCACGAGCGTGTCCATTTTCACCTCGTCGGAATACTTTCTAGTGCAATATGAAGGCTTCAGGGCACGCACGTTTGGCTTGGCCCAGATTTGCAAGAAATGGCAATCTTGCTGCTCGTTTCGGTTGTACTCGGAGTGCCGGATACCTGTGCCGGCATTTGTGAATTGAACTTCGCCTCGTCCGAGGTTTTCCAGATTGCCCATGCTGTCCTTATGCTCGAGCTCGCCATTTACGATGTACGACCAGATTCCGAACTCTGCATGGCTGTGGGTTCCGAAGCCTGTGCCTCGCTCCACCCTGTCCTCGTTGATCACGCGGAGAGGACCGAAAGACTCGTATCGTGGGTCATAGTAGCTGGCGAAGGAGAATGTATGGAAGGTGTAAAGCCAGCCGTGATCGGCATGGCCTCTGGCATTCCAAGGCCGCTTGGTGACTTTGAGGTTTGAAGTGGCATTGGCTGCCGTGGGTGTGGTGGTCGTTGCCATTGCTCGCTTGCTCAGACTGGTACTGTGCGTGTAGATTGCGTGAGCGCTGATTGCTGTTCTTAAGAAGACATCAAAGACACTTTACCGTTCGGAATCGCGAATTATATATGTTTCGAGTCAATGGTGCTGCTGTGATGCTATCCAAATGGCTGACAGTTGATGACTAGAGGGCTCGAATAACAGGTTAAATATCCAATCCGGTTCTTTTTGCTGTATATATGCGGGATACCTGGTCTTGGCTGAGACAGTAACCTTACTCACTTCACTGCATGGACAGTCCAGCACAACGTCTGCGTTGCCGTGGCCTTCAGCTGTTCGAGCACTCTCGTCATGGCCTGGACACTACACGCACTTCTTCTTTACCAGCGAATGTCACGAAGTTAAGGTTTCCTTCCCGTCGACTTCAGCCTCGGTTGATCACAGTGGGGTGGGATAGTGGGAGGCGTATGTAGAGCACAGGTCGGCAGCTGCGATGAATGAATGGTCTCGCAGCTATACCTACGTTATTGTATGTTATGAGCATGCATTTTCGAGCACCGCGCCCAAAATCACTCGTGGAGCTATTTGCTCTCACACTCACGCTCAGCGTCCTGTGGTATCTGATTCTCGGCCAAAGCCGCAATCAGTCCGTAAAGCCACAGCGAAACAAGTCAGAGCGTTTCTTACCATGTTCGCAGCTTCCAGGCGCGAACGACACGGTCGTAGTGCTGAAGACCAGTGTCGCGGAGCTTGAGGAGCGGCTTCCTATGCACTTCGACACGACTCTGCAGTGCTATCCCAACTACCTCATCTTCTCAGATCTGAAGGAGAAGTATCAGGGTCATCACTTATTAGACCCATTGGCTTCCGTGAGCGCGAAGATCCGCCTCTCCAATCCCGATTTCGAGCTGTGGAGACGCGTTCATAAATCTGGACCCGATGCTTTGGAAGACGAAGAAATATGGCGACCGGAAGAGACCATGAAGAATCTAGACAAGTGGAAGTGGCTCCCGATGGTCGAACGCACCTTGGCAGAGTACCCTGACGCCGCATGGTACATTCTACTCGAGACAGACACTTATCTGTTCTGGAGCACACTGCTGTCCTGGTTGAAGGCCTTCGATCATACCCAATCATACTACTTTGGATCTGGCAGGTGGTTCGATGGAAGTGAGTATGCTCACGCAGGCGCGGGCATCGTACTGTCGAAGACTGCAATGGAGATTATAGTGCAGCATTACAGCAACAGCCAAGTCGGATGGGAGCGCTATGTTGCGAACAGTGAGCACGGCGATGTTGTGCTGGGCAGAGTGCTGGCGCAATCTAAGACCACTCTATCGCCAGCCTGGCCTCTGCTGCAACAAGAAGGCCCAGCGAAGTTGGACTTCTCTTCGCAGAACAACGGTAAAAGGCTTTGGTGTTCTCCAGCAGGCTCATATCATGGCTTGTTTCCTGGCGATATTGGCGAGCTCTGGAAATTCGAGCAACAATGGATGCGAGAGAAGCCAGGCCGTATGATTCGACATAGCGATATCTTCAGCTCGTTCATAATGCCGCGCCTACTTATTCGATCTGGCAGGGTGGACGACTGGGATAATTATAGCGGCGACTTGGACATCGGAAAAGATGACACGGATATGGATCAGTGCCGACAAACCTGCGTTGATCATCCCTCGTGCGTGCAATACTCCTTCGCAGATGCTAAATGCAAATTCTCAAGCGTGCCGAGAATGGGAGCCTCTAAGAATGGCGTCCAATCGCGCTGGCTGCTGGCAAGAGCGCAGCGTTTTGCTGATCAGATTGAGCCATGTCCTCCCTGAAATCGAGCCTAGAAGAGAAGATCATCGATTATACTCCTACTGAAGAAGTCATTGTCCAGTCACCTCGCGTCACTTTCCAATGGAATGAAACGCCCATCTAGCTGCAAGAGTTATCAGGTCGGCGCGTTGCAGTCCGGTGAATTAAATTGCCCGGCTCGATCAATGGCGTGTCGACCGCTCTGTCAATTAAAAGGTTCCAAGCTGCTTTGCTAGGATCACCTAGATTGTGTGAGCTGACTTATCTTGTGGCCTCGACGCTCTGCTGCTCAGGAACAATCGAGCTGTCGGGCAGTGTCCAGGATGTCTCAAATCGCGGCTGGCCGCCGTGTCGTGGTATGGCCTCGGCGCGGTGTCACTCAACTACCAAGGCCTCGCACTCATGGCAATCTTCTAGCCTGGGCAGTTTAGATTGAAACTCGAGTCAATGATGGGGCTTGCTGCTGAAAGTCTTTAGCTTATGAATCTATGCTCGTTATCGTGCAGTGCTAGCGGCTTGCTGTTTTGCCACATCGCTCTGATTCCAAGTCTCTGCAGCTTTTGTTCCAAGCGGCAAAGATATTGGGAAGCCATTGGCGTTCGGCGACGAATTATAAGGTCTCCCCGGACCACTCCCGGGATCTCCATTCGCGTAGCCATTCATGCCACCAAAGCTATGCCTTGGCCCATGTTCTTCCGTCGTCATTGGCGATTGCGTGAACGCCGCGCCTGGACCAGCGTCGTTCTTTTTCGCATCTCCAAGATTAAGAGGTAGCAAATGATCCTTGGCTGCTTCTCGCTCCCGAACCTTCCTATCCTGCTTCTCAGCATCTGACGTTCGATCATAGAGATAAAGTCCGACAAAAGTGAGCAGAAAGCCAAAGCCTTGTACTCCAGTCATAGGATTGCCGAACCAGACTATGGCGAACATAATGACCACGACTCTTTTGATCAAGCTTGCGACCGAGTAAGTCACAGGCGAAGTCATGCCGAGTAAAACGAATGCTACCAGGCTTTGGGCAAAATGGAATGTTCCATTGAAGAGGAATTCCAAGGTCAACCTGCCGTGGTCGAGAGAACCCGGTCGTACTCTGAGATCGATAGACGCATCGTGATAGAAGTCTGCCATGAGTGCAAAGCCCTCGGACCAAAGCCAAATTGGAAAGGTGAAGCCAAGTGCCATGAGTGAGGAGTAGCATAATAGGTTGAGCTTGTCGGGTTTGCGTCGTCCGATAGGTACGCCATCTGCTTCAGCGCGGGCAGAGTCGGTGAATATCTTCTTGGAGACGATGTTTTGAGTGACGAAGAGAATGGCGCTGCCAAAAGCATTCAGCAGTCCTAGGAAGTTCGCCTTGAAGCTTGCGGAGCAGGCAAGGATGACTCCAATGGTAAGCGGTATTAATGATAGGTAAGTAGGGGCGGAGTATTTGACGTTCAGGAACAGTCGATAAGCGAGCACGGTCATGAGAGGCGAAAGGCCTTTGATCGTGTGGACCAGCGAGACAGGAATTTTGGACATGGCATCCGAGTTGAGAATATGGCCTCCGATCTGGAATGCGGTCAAGGGGAGAGTGGCCATGATGATGTCCTTGCTAGGCTTTCGAATGCCGTTCTTCAGCACCGGCATGGCATTTCGTATGATGGCATTGCGCTTAGCAAGCCAGGACAAGAACATGCACCAGAACGAGACCAGGGCGAATTGTATGATGGTTAGAGTCACAGGTTTCGGCAGTGCAGTCAAGATGGCCTTGGACGAGGTATTGGTGAGGATGGATGTGGAGTACCAAAAGGCACAGAGGAGCTTTGAAAGATTAGCCCAGATTGCAAGTGTATACACAGGCTTGGACCTACGACTAGCTTGAATGAGACAGGAGCCTTGAGTGATTCGGCAATCTCATGCGCGTTCTCGCTAATGCTCGCAGTCCTCCCTCGTGTCCGAATGGTATGAATGGCCTCACTCAAGCTCTTTTGCCTGCCATGTCTGGTCTTACCAGCATACCCGTTCGCCGCCCATCCAGCTCGACTGCCCCTATTCGAATCTCTTTTTGCAGCGGGCCATCGTTCGCTCGAATGCAGGCCTGGAGGGAGTCCATTCGGCAGAGGTCTGGGGCTTGGTCCGCGCGAAATAACCTCCCCGTCGTCGGTGATGGCGCTCTCGTGGTGGAAGTCTGGGAACTTGAACTTCTGCGGCGCAGGATTGATTGAAGAGGAGCGTCTGCGCTGCTCGAGACCTTCCGTAGCATGAGCGTGAGTGGGCATGTCGAGCTCAAGCCCGAGGCTGGCTGTGAGAAGGGAGAATGTGTCGGCGGCTACCGCGACCAGGCCATCACCATCGCACTGTATGGTGTCGGCTCGTGGGAGTTGTTGCTGTGCTTTCTCGTCGTGTTCGCCGCGCCGCGTGCTACAGATATGGATGGTGATGGAGTGCAGGCGATTCGTGTCGTGTCCTCAGTGCCAGTGGTGGGTTGCGCTGTGGCTGATGTGGGCGGATCGCGTGCTCGCAATCGCAGACCAAGCCAATCTCAACGATCTCATAAGAGCATGCAGTGGTAGTGGAGGCATACCGTGGGCATGCAAATGAGAGTACAGTGGGCATGAGAATGAGCATCACCATCATAAGTACACATGTATGGACATGACCCTACAATCTCATATGCCTCCAGTCCGAGGCACAGACATGCCATGCTAATACTATTGACCTTGTCCCAGCGCGAGCAATATGCTGTTGAGCTTGAGCAGCATCTGGAGCTCGCTGGCTCAGATCACTACAATATCGCCAGTCACAAACGCCTTACCTTCCTTGCCAACTTTCCAATTCTCGCACGAATGGCTTCTGCTAGGGCCATTTCAGATCGGTACTCGCGAGGCGCTTTGGGCTGCCGATCCTCTTGAACACTTTGGCGGCTTCAGATCTCTTGCATATGACCCAAATGCGGTCTTCAGAAGCTCGTTGCCCGTTAATGGAACCACCGGCTGGTCGAATGTCACAGCACAGCTCACCGAGCCGAGCGTCCAGAGGAACGGTGCCACCTTGTCCGTCGACTTTCAGAATGTTGACTGGGAAGCTCTGAGGAATGCATACGGCTGGGCAGCGTATCAATGGCAAGCATGGATAAGGGGTGAGATATATGTCCAGTCCAACAAGACTGAGATTTATACCCTCTCTGCTCCACAGCTCCTCGAGTGGTGGATTGACCATGTTCACTACTTTGGTGGCGACTTCTACGACTACAGTCGAGCTTCGCCAGTCCTGCGCTTGACGCCTGGCATCCATCGCATCGACGTCAGGATCGTGAGAGATGTTAGAGCCTTCGGTGGAGTAGAGAGGCCAGCTATGAACATCACCCTGCGATTGGACTATAGCTATGCAGGACTGAAGCATGTTGGAAAGGTGCTCATTTCCGACACGATCAACTCGCCTTCTGGCCAAGGTCTAGCCAGTCCATTCGGGTCTGCTTTGTTACGCAATGATGGAGACGAGGAAGTCACCATTTCCGCTGTCGAGGCTACACACAACGCCTGTCTGGCAGACCTGTGGCTTACCGAGGAGATACGTATCGCTCCTGGCCAGACGAGGCCAGTGGCTTTCCGCGTGCGATGCGTGAGGCTCGACTGGCGGATCAGGCTGGACTTCAAATTTCGAGTGGCCGGTAGAGACCGCATTGAAACATTGACCATTCTAGCAGAGCCCATGCGCCGCAATCCAGGTGAGCCTCACAAAGTCACTTTTCCTCATCCCGGTGGCATTGTCTCTTACGCTATTCTCCGACCGCCTTCTCGACGAGCTGTCGATACAGTACCGCCGAACTCAACATTGCCAGTGCTGCTTGGATTTCATGGCGCCGGGGTCGAAGCGGAATGGGACAGCGTAAGGCTGGCTTTGCAACCACTTCCAGATTTGCCTGCCTGGGTATTATATCCAACAGGCGTCACGCCGTGGGCTGGCGATGACTGGCATGCTTTCGGATTCCCAGACGTTGAAGCTGCAGTGGAGATGATCCCAGATTGGATCGAAGTCAACGAGTGGCAAGGACCAGGTGTTAACACTCAGCAGTGGCTCGTCGCTGGCCATTCGAATGGAGGTCAAGGCGTATGGTATGCTTTGACGCATTGGCCGGACAAGGTCATCGCTGCAAGTCCTATAAGTGGCTACTCATCGATACAGAACTATGTGCCGTACACGTTCTGGCAGCCCAGTGACCCCCTTCGTACATCAATTATACAATCAGGCCTTCTGCCCTATCGACATGAGCTCTTGCTCGCAAACGCGAAGGGCATACCTGTGCTTCAGCAGCACGGCGGAGCCGACGATAACGTCCCTCCGTACAATTCTCGTCTCCAGAGCCAGCTCATTCGCGAGGCTGGCGCAAACAGCGAATACTTTGAATTCGCTGGCAAACCACATTGGTGGGATGGCGTCTTCACCACGACTCCTCTGAGAGACTTCTATCAGCAGCAGATTGATCTCAACATTGCCAACGTTGGCAGAGCGCCAATCACGTTCCAAGATTTCTCGCTCGTGGTGGCCAACCCAGGAGATACTGGTTCCAAGCACGGCTTCCGAGTTTTAAACTTGATAAATCCTGCGCAAATTGGACGCTTAGATGTCTCCTTCGATCCTACGACATTGGCATGCGCGATCAGCACAGCCAACGTGAGAATGTTCTATGTTCCACATTACTTTGGCCACTGCAGCTTCGTCACCATAGACAGACATGAGATATCGCTGCTTGTGAGCAGAGATCAGGGTCAAGACTGGAATCTCGAGCTCATCAATGGTACTTGGGGCTTTGAGGCCACCTCATCAGACAACACTCGTCCAAGCATCCGCCGCATGGGCAGCCAGCTAGGACAAATGGACTCAATACTGCGCACCCAAGGGCCATTTCAGATTTTGCAGCATTCAAAGCAAGCACATCACATTGCACTGCAGATATCCCGTAACCTCTGCCAATACTTTGCTGCTGACACAATCATCAGTGAGGACTGGGACGAAGCATTTACCTCAACAGGCAACATCATCAGCGTTGCGATCGGCAACGATCTGCCTTCCGGTTTCTTCAAGGACCATCCCATCCAGATCGATCAAGGCAGGAGCATTTCCATTCGACACTTCTTTGGAAGTCCAGGCCACTATGACGACTTGGCTGATCTCGGTTTGGCCGCGATATTTCTGAGACCTCTGCCTATGGGCAGACTGGAATTGGTTGTTTGGGGATCTGATGCTTCGATGCTTGAGGTCGCGGCACGGCTTGTACCGATGATGCCGGGGAGTGGTCAACCGGACTTTGTAGTGATGGACAAGACAATGCTCGCGAAAGGATTGAACGGTGTGCTGGCGATGGGCTTTTTCGACAATTTTTGGGAAGTGTCGAAGAATTCATTCTTTGGTTGACGCGATGCTGCAGGGACTAAATAAATGGTCGTGGATTAGCATCACTATACATACTATCATGTGCTTTTCCTGCGTCCTGTCATCCACATCATGGCTATTCATTGAAATACTACGCATTCAGAATCTAGTGCCTCGGGTTCTCAGCATCCTTGAAACTTCTGGGTTTAGGCTGCGTATGCCATCCACCACGTCCACCATACATAGGTTTGGACTCGTCATAACGATGATAATTCTCTGGACCTCCCTTGCCCCAGTTGTCCTTGTGGTCCTTGTAATCATGGCCATTCTTAGACTTGACCTCACTCAAACCAAGACAATCTGCCATTTTGAAGAAAACATCAATGGAGTTGTATACGCCGCCGAAGATTTCTTGACAAGGGCCCATCGCGAACAGAGCGACGTCGGTCAGAGAGTGGACGCCCTGGTCGGCGGAAGTTGGAAGCGTTCCATTGACGATAAATCCATTCTGATCATCTGTTGGGTTCACGAAAAAGTCGGTACTTGAGAAACCAGTGATGTTCTTAGCGGGGACTCTTGGTCCGTCTTTGTGGACACGATAGTTCTCGCGATGATCTGGGTTGGCACCGACACCTTGCGCGAGAGTATATCGAGGATCCCAGTTGGACGGGAAGTTGCTATCAGAGTATCGGAGATTGCCCGTATTGATGTACTGGGAGAGGCCAGACTCTGCGTATGTTCCGACAGCATGGCGCTTGTCGCGGTCGTTGCCCTGAGCGTCGGCGTACTTGGTGTCGTAAGAACCGAAGACATCGAAACCATGGCCGTGATCAGCTGTAACCACGATCAACGTGTCCTTGAAGATGCCCAACTCCTTAAGGTGCTCGATTGAGTGCTTTACAGTGTCATCGAGCTCCAACAGCTCACCAAGAGCACGGTCGTAGTCGAGAACGTGCATCATCTTGTCCACTGAAGCGGCTTCGGACATGATGAACCAGCCTTTGTCTCCAGCGCGGTTGTGGAGGATGTCGATGGCCTTGAGCGTCATCTCCTTGAGTCCAGGCTGATCGGTTGCGTTACCGCCCTGGCAGTCCGGATAATTCTTGCCCTGGTTGAGGTTGGCCGTGTAGATATTCCTGTCGAGCCACTTTGCCATGTTTGATTTTGTGAAGATGCCCAGAGTGCGTTGGTCACTTGGCGTAGCATCGAGAGTGGTCTTGTTGTATACCACGTTGTATCCAGCATCTCCGAACACCTTGTAATAGTCTTGATCCTTATACGTATCGCCACCAAGTTTCTTGGCACAGAAGTTCTCAGCCCCACCTCCGAAGAGAACATCAGGTCCGGACCATTCAGTCCAGGTGTAGTTCACCACACCATGGATAAAGGTATCGATAACATGTGGATATTCGCCTCGATCTCTAGTGTGGGCAGTAAGAGCAGCTGGAGTAGCATCTGCAATGTAGGCGGTCGAAACGATACCAACATGGCCCGCATAGAGTCGGTGGAAGATCTCGGCGATCGACTCGACCTTGGGGTCATCGAATGGATCTGGAGATGAGTCTCCATAGACACCAAGCGCATTGACAACTGATTTGTGTCCAGAATACAAAGCGGTCGCGGAGTTGGCAGAATCAGTAATGAACGAGTCGATCGAGTGTGTCATCTGGTGACCGACCACGGGGAACTTGTCCAAAGCTAGAGTGCTCTGATATTTGCCATTGATCGTCTTGTGTGCAATGAGACGAGCAGCAGTGATCATATTTGTGGTCATGCCGTCTCCGATGAAAAGGAGGACATTCTTGGTCTTGCGGACCTGTTCGATGTCTCGGACGTGCCAGTGAGCGACTGTCTCCGTGTGGTTGTATTTCAGAGTTGCCACATAGTCTCCGGGCTCGTACAAAGCCACTCTTCGCCATGCCTTTGAAGCCACGTTGACCATGGAAGGTGTTTTAGCATCTTGTGCGAACAGGTCTCTGGGAAATGCTTAGCATCGAGTTTTGGTCGCGTAACTGGGGACCATCGGTTTTACTTACTCGTACCAGCTAAAGTCCCAAGTTTCAAGCTCTGGCTCACCTAAACCCAGGAACTCTGAAGCACTCTTGGCCTCGGCACCAACTTTGCCAATGGTGAAGCTGAAGTTCACATCAGGAATGCCATCTGTCGCTTCTGATCCATTCACTGGAGCGTGGACCTCGACCCTGATATCGAAGTACTGTCCAGCCAGGAAGTCTTGCTGATCTGGTGGAATAACACAACCAAGAGTTGGACCTTTGGATTCACAGTCAGTATGGATCTGTGCAAGACGTTACAGCGAGAGAGACAGTGTGCACTTACAGGTGCCAAGTCGCCGGAAGGTCTGCGCGCCCACGAGCGAGATCAGTGCAGCGACTGCAGCTACAGAAGAACGAAGGCAACGCATCCTGAACCAATGAAGGGTAGTTCTAATAACTTAGAGACGCACGAGAAACAGAGCTCGACCTTGATGGAACCTCGTGGCCAACCCTGCGCGTCTTATATCCGAGGCTCTGTCACACACTCCGCCCCTCGCCCAGCTCGGGGATTTAAGCCAAACGTAAAATCGCGCTTTCCATAGTAATCCATACGTAAATCTCGATGGAAACGTTCGATAGGGGTGCCATTGTCGGGATATAGACTAATAAGTAGCTTGTAAATAGACAGGTAAATATATAGAGGTAGAATTGTCGACTAAATAACGTAGATATTAGGTAGTAGCCGTCTTAGCGCATACTTAGCGTTAATTATGTAATCTACGACTTTATAAGTAGGCCTATATCTCGAGCATATAAAGACTACTTTCTACGCTAGAGTAAATAGCTAGCTACTACTATCCTATATATCTTTAATCTTTACTAAATAGGCCGCACTACTAGTCGCTATTACCTTACCTTTGTATCTAGCCGACTTCTTTAGTGCTTTATAGAAATATCTCTTCTTCTAAGTAGCCTCCGGTTAGTAGCGAGGGTGCAGTAGATAAGGCTAGAGTTATAGAAACAGGTTCTTAGCTAGTACCGCTTCTATCTATTTAAGCTAATTTAATCGTATATCCGGCTCTTAAGAGATTAAGCCGTTTAATCGTTACTTCGAGGCGAGGTCGCGCTATATTAGAAGGTCGCTTTCTTCGTCCGAGTCGTACGTATATAAGGGAAGCAATATTAGCTATATAGGTATCTACGTCGCGGTAACGGTACTATCGTCGCTAACCTTGTTATATCGCTTATATCTCTTAATAATATCTACGTACGGATCGCCGATTTTACGAGTGCTATCTTTATAGATAATAGTATTATCGCAATTAAGAAGTTAAAGGTTAAAGACGCGTAATAGCGGCGGCTTATCGATAGCGACTAACTGTAATACTATCTCTATAAACTTAACTTTGCTATTGTTATTAAAAACAATATAGAAGGCCTTACTATACTTTAACCGATAGGTACGTACCTTAGCGATAGCAGTCTCGGCGTTTCGTAGTCCCCTTTACTAAGTATCGAGTACTATTTCCTTGTCCTATTATATAAGCTAAGAGCGGAGTTTATTAGCCTTAATAGCACTTACTCGAACAAGGCGATTAGGCTGTTCCTTTTACCTCTTCTATACCTTCTCGACAGTGTTTATAGCATTAAACTTACGCTTATATTCTTTACCTTTATAAAGAGCGGCTTTAACAGATAGGTCGTAGATAGCCTAAGCCTCCTTTATAGGGGATAACGAGAATAGGTTAAATAAGGGCGATAGCAAAGCGAGGTCTGTTAGAGCCGGCTTTAGATAAGAACGTCGGAAGTCGCGGCAAGATTATATAGCCTTACGCGATACCTTAATCGTACGAGGGCTTGTCGAAGCAACGAGTAGCTATTACGGCAATTCGGGGGTCGGTATACGACTATATCGGTTTAGTAGAGGCGACGATAATATACCCTAAGCAATCAAGTTTCTAAGGTCCTCTTTAACGTAGCGATTATTAGCGTAAGACTAGCTATTTAGGTCGACGATAGCGGGATTAGCAGAACGGCCTTACTTAATAGTAATAAGGTATTCCTCTATCGCTTTCTCCGCTATCGCTAAGGCTTCTATTTGCTAGGCTTCTTCCTATTCTAGCGACTCCTAAATTAATTCCTAGTTCTAATCTCTAGTAGTAGTACTATACTATTCTCGAATATGTCGATAAGGGACCTCCCTATCTACCGGGAATATGCCTGTCTTACGGAATGCCGACCTTATATTATAGGAAGTAAATGTCCTCGCCCGAATAGTAGAAAGAGCCTCTACAAACTTAGGTATTCTAAAGTTACTAACACCGTAGTATATAGCCTCGAGTACTGCTTGTCTATACCTCGTCTTATATACTTAGAATAGTATAACGTCTAATAGCTATATAAAGTATAAAGTATATAGTTATAGGCCCTATAATTAAATCCTATATCTCTTCGCAAAGGTAGCGAATTCCTTAAAGCAGTAAGAGCTATAATTGTTATATAATAACAGCCTCTATTCGCTCGGATCGTTAGGCCTTATCTTACGCTTAAACTAGCGGATATAGTACATTATAGTGTCGTCGGTTATATATCTAGACTCGTTAATAGTAATTAAGAAGTTGTCCTTACCTAACAACGAGGGTGTAGTTAGTAAGTAACGTTATTATTGCCTTAGGCAGTAGACTCGGACTCGGAAGTAGTAATAGTAGTAGCAGTAGACTTACCTTCCTTCGGCACCTATCGTTCTTATACTATTATACCTTTAACAATTAACTAATAATCTATTATATTGCTATACGCGTTAGCTGTCTCGACGATAGTAACGTAAGTACGATTAGTATCGCATTTAGTCTATATACGGCGCTTCGTATCCTATGTTACTATATATTCGCAGCCTCTAATTCTAATCCGAAAACCAGTTTCGTCGAAATTCTATATATTCTAAGGCTTTACCTTCAACCGCCGTAATATAGCTTTAAATCGATTAAACTACGACCTTATAATAGCTAGATTATAGGCCTCTTTACGCTGTTTCTCGATCGGTTTAGATTTAACCTTACTAAGGCTATATCGAGCTAGGAAGCGGTCCGCCTAGTCTATACCGAATAGTGCTATTACGAGGGCACTATTACTAGCCGCTAGCGAGTTAGCCGCTAGCGAGTCCTTTAGTATATCTATAGTAACTACTATAATAAGCGATACCGGAAGAAACATGCCTATAGCGTCTCTTTCTCGACAATAGTCCGCTAGCGCTAATTCCTAGCTCTTACTAAGTTTAGTATTAGTTAGCTCGCGACCTAGGTATAAACTACGACCTCGCAATCGCTAATAAACACGCGAATATAAGCCTTCGGCGCCCTCGCTCTTATATAGTTCTTTTAGACTAAAGCGCCTATCTTATAACCTCTATTCTTAAGCCTTCGATATAACCCTTTCTACTACCTTCTCGAGCCTCTTAGTCTCGGTAAGCCGTTTAGTACGTACGCGTTTCTTCCTTCTACCCTTCCGAGCTACTATATCGACGGTAATAGTAATAGTAGCGAATACTATATTATAAAGAGATAGAATACGCGCTAGAATAGAGGTAGACGCGCCTACTAAGGGATTATATAATAATCGGTAGTAGTAAGGTCTATAGCTACTATATACTCGGATAACCTCGCTAATATAATATTTAGACTCGCGGTTTAATACTGCATATACCTAGATATCTATATAGGACTGGAACCTACCACCATATCGATGTTTACGTATAGCCTACTAAGAAAAGCCGATTTTACGTATGGACCAAATCCCCGCGATCAGCGGGGTGAAGTGACTGAAGAAACCCCGGATAAAAGCCACCTGAACTCCTCACCCAGCAAGCAGGGACCCTGGGGGAAGCAGTACAGGCATTTGGTTCGGCTCGCTTCCGCCAGAAATTCCCTGGCTTTGACGCACACGCTGTACAAACAGCCGTCGCGAATGGTTGCAGTGCAGTGCAGTGCAGCGTGAAAGCTGAAAGAGGCGTTGTAACGACCTGCCTGTTCTCAATGCCAAGTGAGGTCGGAGTCTTGGTCAGGCAGGCCAAGACTTCTAGCCATATGATATGCGAAGCACGTGCTGCGAAGCTGGCGTTGTGGTTGGTGCAAAGAGGAGGTGCTGTGTCCAACGCCGTCGTGCTCAGAACCGCAACGCCGAGTCCATGACTCCATGCCAGCAACATCCTCAACCAGCACATGGCATAGATACGGAAATGGATATGCTCGCAGAGATCGGTACAAAATTTTGGTTGCTTCATCATCTCGTTAGTCGTGCTCATCCATGCCTGCCAAACCGTCAAACTATCCAACCGCCACTGCAGGGTATATAGTAAGTACAATTATCTGCAGGTGAAAGTGAATGCATATTTTCCAGGCGCCGGCTCGTACTAGAAGCCGGCCATGCTTTCTGCGGGCACAACATCTCGGATTGCTCGTCGCCACCGTCCATCGTCAGGTCGTTCCTGATTATTGACGAACCAAGCGCCGCACATACGCCTCCAAACCTGTTCTTCATTCTCTTGAAGTTGTTTGAAACGATCGCCAACGTCAAACTCCTCGTGAAAGTCTGCACCAGGCGGCTGCAGCGAGTCCTGGGCGCCACCAAGCGCATTGGTGCCAAGAGTTGGGTTGTTCTCATCTTTAAGATCATCGATGCCTGCGAATGCATCTTCTTCGTCCTCGACGTCGGTCACGGAGGGAGACATCTGACCTGAGACATCTCGTCCCGCTTTGACCTTCAGCCACTTCATCTGCTGTGGGTCGAAAACCATCCCGTTTTGTACTTGGATGTTGTAGCCGCTTCCCGTTGGAACATGAGCTATGAGCGCTGGCCGCGACGGTGATGTGTTTGATCGTTGGTGCATCCTCTCCCGTTCTATGTACGATGATCGCGGTCGTAGCGACGGTGTCGGTGTCTCCAACGGAGGTATGTCGAATTCACGCAATGTGTTTTCGTTCCCTTCCCATCGAAGTGTTTGCGGATTATAAATCATGCCTTTCTCGCCTAGAGTAATTCAATTAGTCATTGCCACGAAAGCCTGTAATTGCGCTCAGCACTCACTCTTGACAACATGCGATCCAATGCCTGCGATCAGCCCGGGTCTTTTGCTCTTCTGTCGCTGAGCACTGGGACTATTGAATGGGCTCCGCGCGGCAACTTGTGCTTTCCAATTCGTTGTCAGTGGTTGAAGAGGCCCTTCACTCCTTGGCCGTGGCTGGTTTGCGAGTCTAGTCTCTCTAGCAATTCTACTGGCAGCGGTGTCACGCAAGTAGCTTGGAGTAGCAGAGGGCACATTGTCATAGAATCCCTTGGTGGGACTGGCTGGTGTTCTAGGTGGCGCTGGCGTCATGATTCTATCCGGGATCGCGGTCACAGTCGATATTGCCGAATTTCGCTTACTGAGATCGACAAAGTCGCTCCGGCTTTGTGTCCGCCTGAGAGTGCTCTGCTTCGGCGGACCACGGCCCACGGGTTGTTTAATGAACTTGCTCTCTTTGGTGACGGATGTCGGCAAGTCGTCGAATATTTCCAGCTCAGATCCATCGCCGTAGTGGCGTCTCCTGTTAGGCTGCTTGATGGTCTGCTTGGATCGGGCCTCGCGTGCCAGTGAGGGCGGTGCTATATTCTCCCTGGCTCTCGGTACCCGAGACGGGGTGTCTGGCGCAACTTGGTTGGACAGGCGTGAGCTGGGTCTTGGTGGTGGCGATTGAGCACCTTGTCTTTTCGGATCTGAATCTCGTCGCAAATGGTACGGCATAGCTCTGTGGGCAGTAATATGTGGCGACTGATGATTCGAGACGCCTGCAGGTAGGAACGGCACTGATGGCTTGCTGGACAAAATGCCATGACTATGCTGATTTCGCAATGCTGGCGCCGATCGCTTAGAACGGAGCAGTTGCGAGCTCGTTGTAGTCGGCCCTCGTCTTTCACGAGGAGCGTGAGAGGCTCCACTCTCGAACACTGGGTCTAGTCTTGATGTATGTCGAGTGCCAGAGACCGGACGCGGTATATGAGATCGATTGTATATAGGCTTGTCTGTAGGTTTATCGTGAAAGTTGAGTGTGGTGGCTGGGCGTGATGATGAAGAGAGAGGCTTGGTCGACTTTACTTGCACGTTTCTGTTGGTAGTTCGCTTCCTGACATTGATCACATCGCTCTCGCCGAAGTCCAGGTCGTCAAGAAAATTGTCGTGATCATCTGAGAACAGCTTTGACTTCTTGTGCAGATTCATGGTAGGTTGCTGGTCGACTACAGCAGAGTTGGGCTGGGAATTGGGCAGGGAATCTGTCAGATCGGCATCGGCAGCTCGACGCTTCTTCAGGATGGCCTCAAAATCCATTGGCCCTTCTGGCAGCTCCAGTCCTCCAAGGTCATCGACCTCGCTGTCTGCCGTCGCTGAACCCAAGCTCGGACTCATCACTGAGGCAGAGCCGCTGCGGTTTCGCGTGCTGTTCTTGCCAGCAAACCTAATGCCAAGGCTCCCTTCCAGATCATCGAAATCGTCGAAGTCTTCGCCAGATAGGACACCGGGAGCTTCTGTCCGTGGCTTCAGCTGCAAGGGCTTGTCCATCATCTCCAGGTCATTGTCCCAGTCATCAATCTTCTGCTTCGACGGCTTGTTTCCCAATCGCTTGATGGTGCCGCCAAGCAGGGCACTTGTTGGTACATTCTGCGGCAGCGGGATGCCGGCCAGTTTCGCGGATAGTATGGCCTGCTTGGAGCTGTGTTCGTCGTTGGGCTGTATGACGACGTTCCAGTCCTCATCGCCAGCGACCGACTCTGAGCGCGTGCTGATGCGCGAGGACATGCTCAGTGGGCCGGTGCCAGTGCTGGCGTTGGCACACGCCGTGAAGTCGCCCTGCAGGTCGGCATCGTCGTCCCAGCACTCCATGATTGCGCCTTCTGCGCAGGAGAACGGGCGTGGTCGTGGGAAGGCAGCGGCGTTGCTGCGTGGTGGTGGCTAGGAAGTCGGTCTGGGTCTGTGTGCGTGTTTCGAATGCGACATGCGACGTTTCTGTTTCCTCCGGATAGTTGCTCTCGCCGCACGGCCTCCTCCTCGTGGCACTTCACGCGCCAGAGGGAGTGTGCTGGCCTTGGGAAAGCTCTGCTGATATGCGCATGCTCATGCGGTCTCCTGCATGGGCGGATGGTGCTGTTCGCATCTTATCTTCTAGCCACACGGGCCCGGATGCGCAGACGCGCGCCGACCTTCCTTCATTCGGTTCTCTCCGCGAGCCAACCGCGTCTAGCGAAACTCTAATGTGCACCCTGCTTGCGCCCAATACAGGTACACCGTACACGACACCTCAGCAGCAAGTCTCGGCCTCCACTCGTCTGTGTCCTGCACCAGGTGGCCGGATCACTTGATGCCCTCAATTGACGCGTCGCTGCGAAATCTGAAGTGCCCAGGCAACAGGTGCGAGGACCACGACGCGGCACGATCAACAAGGCCCAGGCACCACCACGGGCCGCAGCATCGAATAACGGCGTAGAACGTGGGAACAGGCAAGACACTCTTCCTTTCAATTATTTTCCCCGGCTTTTTGATCTCGGCTCAGGGTGCAGGCTGTATCTGAGCCAATATCACATCAATTTCAGACAGAGGAGAAACACAGAATCCACGCGTGCTTCAGACTCGAATCATGACTCCCAAGCAGAAAGAGCATATCCTCCGTCTGCGTCGTACAGACCACAAGTCCGAGCACTTGTTGCTGAATGTCGGCAGAAATGGACGCAGAGATTTGGATCTCAAGCTCATCGGCACTGACCAGTACGTGGCATTTATCGGAGCTATTGAGGAAGCCGATGTCAAGTCGCTACAAGAACGCAATTACACGGGCGATCTCGCAGAGTGGAAGACGGTCTTGCGTTTTGCACTTTTACGCGAAAAGCCCGACGGGACCCTGCCAGAGTTTCTTCAGGGTGTGGAGACGGTGGCCGCCATTAGCGGATCCACGTCCACGATCACTGTTCGGAGAAACATTGGCGGAATTACGCAAAGACTTGGCTCCATCCAGCTCGACCAGAAAGATGAAGAGGTTGTGCCGATGGAATGGGTCGACGTTGCAGCAGCAACGTCCGATGGACTCCGAGACCAGTTGGCAACGCTCGAGGCTTCTGTCCAGACTCAAAAGGACCAAATTGCAAAGCTGTCGACTGAGCTTGATATGCTAGTAAAGGCCAAGAGGGAGCACGAAGAGGAATTGCTCAGCAAATTTGCGGCATTGCTCAATGCAAAGAAGCTGAAGATTCGGGACCAGCAACGTCTCTTGAATGGCGCCAAGGTTGATCCGGTTGCTGCGGAAGAGATTAGTTCTGTTCGAGCCCCAAGGACCTCGAGAAAAGCAGGGGCATCTCGTGGTGGCAAGAGAAAAGCCAACAGTGCAGCACCACCGTCGCCTGAGGAACAGCAGCATGATGACGACGATGCCGAAACGGTCGACGGCACGGATGATGCCGATGGTGCTTCAAGGAGAGAGCAGATGACTCCAGAACCATCTGATGCTGATGCGACGACAGATAGCGAGAATGAACATGAGAATGTGGATAAGAAGTCAGCGGTGGGAACAACTGCATCGCTACAGAGCTCGAGAGGAAGAGGTCAACGTGCAGGAGGCACGACCGAGAACATGGACCTTGACGAAGACTTGCCTCCTCCAAGAAAGCTGCCTTTCAATAACAGGAAGACGGCTCATGAAAGTGCGGAGAAGCCTATACCAGCTACTATGGCGAACACGAAAGATATCGGAGAGGATGCTGAAACAGATGATGATGAATTATGAGCATGCACTGCAATACGATGCTGTATTGCAGGCAAGCGAATGCGCACATCTTTCACGTGGCGTTGGCCACAGTATGGACTTGGTCGTCAGCCTCAGTGCGGAGCAGATTCGATGGCGCTTTGTGTGCAACATGTCGCAATTACCATATGAAAAGACTTCTCAATTAGCACTATTGTGACGATGTTCTATGTCTTGGTCGTTTTGATACTGTCCGCCTTGTGTACTAGTCGCCCAGCGTCGCTTGCAGGGAGGTCCGCGCAGTGGGGCGCAACTCGCTTCGTCAACAGCTGCTTGCTTGATCGCTATCGTACACTCGAAGGTAAACACGACCACGCTGCTATTGTCTGCGCTGACACCCACACCGACCATCGCATACACTCACGTCGCACACACTGTGTCACGCATTAGCTCGTGCCAGACTTGCGGTTTCGCATTGGCTTTGGTTCTTCCTGCGCCCGCGCCGACTGCTGGCGACGAACGACCCTGGTTATCGCAACGACTCAGGCAGGCGCTCGCTCAATGCTGCGCTCACACTCCACCGCGCTTCGGCCTCCCTGATGCGAAAGTCCAGCGGCGAGTAAGATCCGCGCGAGAGCGAGACCATGCCCGCGGCGGACGAGGCACAAGAGCGCCCGCCCGCCGCTGCGACACATGCACAGAAACCGGCCCAGGCACCAACGGCGACATGGAAGCCCAACAAAGACGAGCTGGCCGATCTGGACGCCATCGATGCCGCTCTCGTCCGTATGCGAGACCACATCCCGCCCGATCCCTATATCATGACCATACCGCAAGACGACGACGTCAAGTATCGGCACCATTACCAGGCGCAAGCGCTGCAGTGGACGTACACTGCACCCTTTGACTTTCGCACCGAGCACGAGAGCATTCAGTACTTAACCTTTCACTACTATGAGCCCGGCAAGGAGATGTTCCTGCTGCACAACAGTCGGCCAACGTGGGAACCGCACGCGACGAATGGAGGCACATCTGGGAGCACTCGCCCAGGGACTGGCGCAAACACGCCGAATGGTGCTCCTAAAAAGAAAATAAGTCTGGATGCGTATAAGAAGAAACTGAATGGAGGGCCTGTTGCTCCAGAGAACGATGCAGCCAAAAACGGTGGTGATGCGCCAGCGAAGCAGCCCGCCGTGAAAGGACCAGTTGAGAGAGTCAAGGCCGAGACGCAGGAGATGCTGGCGGCAGTTGCCGAAGAAAGCGAGGACGAACAGAAGATGAAAAGGGAGAAATCGCCAGAGCAGGGTGATCTGAAGCGCAAGCGGGATGATGCTGGAGGCAGGATTGCTCGAGAGAAGCAGGAAGACGTTCGTGAGACCGAGCCCGCTGCGAAGAAGGTGAAGGTGGAGAGCATCAAGGTGGAGAAGAGGGAGGCCAGTGCCAGAGACGTGCGTAAGCCAGAGCGGGATGCTGTGAGTAACGGGAAGGTCGCAAATGTCGGCAAAGCAGGAGAAGATGAGAGTCTACCACCACGGCTGTCTCCCGGCCTGCCACCACGTCTGTCGCCAGGACCGATTCCACATGGCGAAAATTCGCCTAAACCTGCGGCTTCCCGGGGCGACAATGAAGATAGACTACCCCCTCGACTGTCACCTGCGAAATCTCGAACGGAGAAGCCGTCTCAGCAAAACGAATCTGACGAAGACGAAGAGGATCGCTTGCCGCCCAGGCTGTCACCAACTCTTCCTGACAACATTGCCAAGACCATCGAGGCTCGTGCGCATTTTAGATCAGCGTCGCAATCATCAGATCTATCCGCGCCGAACTCTACCTCGAAGGAGAAAAGCAGCAAGCTCACGCCAATCAGAAAATCTGAAAGCGGTGTCACGAAGCATAAGTCACCTGCACCGCGCAATGGCTTCCGCGCCAATTCCAGCAGTCCTGCAGTGCGATCTGACGCAGAGCAACGAGTGCGGCCGCAAGCGATCTCTGCGGCGAGAGGCAAAAGCCCTGAGCTCTCACAAGACGATGAGATCATGGTAGGCAAGACGCTCAAGGCTCTGAGGGTGGAGCGGCGCGAGAAGCCAGGTCTTCTGATCAAGCTCAGGTATAAGCGTGCGCGGAGAGAAGACATCGCGCGAATCTTGAAAATGCGGCCGAAGCCTGATAAGAGCATGTTTCAGCCCCCAGCTCCAGAAGAATCGAAGCGGAATGGAGAGCGCAAAGATGAACCTCCAGCGAAGACCAAGGGTGTCGCCCAGAAGGTTGGCCCGGTTGAGAAGAAAAAGAAGCCGGCTGTAGAAGAAAAGCAGCCTGCGAAGCAAGTTGATAAACCTTCTGAAAAGGCGGAGAAGCGAACAGCAGCCGAGAAACGACCTTTACACGACGACGACAAGCCGGAATCTTCAGCAAAGCGGAAGAATTCTGACGAGAGTGAGAAGCGCAAAGAACCATCGACCCCTGCGCCACGGGACATGGATTCACCTCTTGCTCAAAAGCACGTCACACCGAGCACGAGAAAGGACTTTTTGTCTGCGGCGATGAAGAGGGAGCAATCACAAGACAGCAACGCCACCCATACGCCTCCCGCCTTGACCAGCACGCCAAGCATAGGAAGCAATTCTCAGGCGAATGGAGCGGCGAGGCCGCTCTCGAGTCACCCAAGCAATAAAACGCCCAAACAACAGGCGTGGGAGACTGAGCAAAAGAAGCTTGAAGTTTTGGGACGAGAACTCAAGCATGCTGCATCCGCGCATATCAGTGCTTCTCAATCTGATCTCGACCAGAAAATGGCCGCTGTGAAAGCTGTAGAGTCTTTCATCTGCTATCTGCTCGCTTTCACATGCGCGGATGAAGCAGCCACTGCAGCCGATCCACGACAATCGCCATCTTACCGGAACTGGAAGAGCTTGACAGGTTTCTACGGATTCGTGAAACGGCAAACAGAACCTTTCTCTCCATTGAACGGACTAGTCAATTCATTGGGTGTAGTCTTCGGCTCTAGAATCTTGGAGATCGGTACTCAATTGCAAGAAGGACCTTCGCAAACGACCTTACTCGAAACGCAAGTCCTGCTGCAAAGATCCGCCGCTGCGGCTGAAGAGAAGCTGGACATCGACATGTTGCAAGAAGTCTTTCCCAAGTCCTGGAAAGATCGGACGAAAAAATTGGCTGCGCATGAGAAACTCGATCCTCCAAAGCTCGGAGGTCAGTACAAACTTCCCCTGGGTGTCGCTACGACTCCTGTTCGCGCTGCTAGGGCTGGATATGCTATGCTGGGGGAATGGATGGAGAAGGAACGAATCCAGTATTCGATGAAGCTCAAGCTTTGAAATTCTTCAGGCGTTCCGGGAAGATATTCAAAAACCCTTCTTCTTCGTGGAAGGAGAGGAGAGGCACGAAATCTTGAAGAAAAGATTGTGTGGGAAGAGGGACGGGACTTGCGGGTCAAGGTTTTGTGATCTTTTTTTCTTCTCTTTTTTTTTTTGTTTTTGCTTCGAAGTCGATACCCCCAACAGTATGTGTGTGGAAGAAGGAAAAGAAGAAGAAGAAGAGCGTGTGTGCGCTACAGTACAGTACCTTCCTGGCACATGTGCATGCGTCATGGTGGAAGGGTCAGGTTTTGTTGTTGTTGTGTTATCTAGGACGATGGTCATGATCATAATGAGAATGCTGTGACAAAGGCTTGATCTACACGAAGATTGATTCGCTCTTGGGAATCGCTGCCTATCAACATGGGTGACGACAAAAGAGAGGAGCTCGCATTCGCGGGAGCAGGAGCTCTATGCTTCCGAAGCCTCCGCAGCATAATGAGGCATCAGGATTGGAGCGTATTCGCATGTCATGCTACGTGCATCTCTCCACTCCACTCTACACGCCTTCTATCCTCGATGAAGATCATGGTTTGTCACGTACGACTTGCCATTACGATTCTAGTTCGTCTATGGGATTCTTTGATCTAGTGTTCGCTCTTTCTACATGATAAATATTGCGCCTCAGCCTTCCCAAGGCGTACCCGACCGTCTAAAACGCCGCGCCTGGTGCTGTCCAAATCTTCCCATAGCGATTGACAGGAATATAAATCGACATCTGCGCCATCATGCTCGCTAATGCCCGACGAAACACGATCTCTTTGCACCTCATGAAGAAGAATCATCGCCAATTGTCATACCTTTCTTTTGGAGCTTCGCTGGTGGCAGGCCGAGACCGTTCCTGTTACGGAAGAACAACACCTTGGCCTGGTCACCCTTGGCACCCTCGTTTGGCTCAACCCATTGACACCAGCGGGCGCTTTTGTACATGGACTTCAGGAAGCCGATGGAACCATCCTTGGTGTCTGCTCGGTAATGGCTTCCCATGATAGGCTTGATGGCCTCGGTAGCCTCATCGGCATGGTAGAATGGGATGGTCGAGACGTAGTGGTGGAGGACGTGTGTCTCGATGATTCCGTGGAGCAGCTGGCGTCCGATGAAGCCGAATTCACGATCGATGGTGGCAGCGGCGCCGCGGGTGAAGTTCCACACATCACCAGTGTAGTGTGGAAGCGATGGGTCGGTGTGCTGCAAGTAGGTGATGGCAACTGTGATTGCTGTCAGCATGGAGCACGCCACAAATCGATTCCCGGTCTACTTACCGAGCCAGTGGTTCACCCAAAGGTACGGGATGAAATACCAGACCAGGAGATTGGTCCAACCGTATGTGCGACCCATATAAGTCAAGACGGAAGCCACAAGGAAGAGACCCAGATCCGAGAGCAGAATGAGATGCTCATCCTTCTTCTCATACAACGGGCTGCTTGGCATGAAGTGGTTGACGCTGAAGTTTCCATTCTTCTTGCCCTTGCCTTTGCCCTCTGGCTGCTTCTCGTGGTTGTTGTGTCCAGTCACGTTCTTGAGCAGGTAAAGAGGCCATCCAGCAAGCTGCTGTCCAATGAGCATGGTAGCGGTGTAGATTGGAGTCTCCTCCAACAGCTCGTGCATCTCGTGGAGCACATATCCCGTGCGGGAGGCATGCTCTTCACGTGTGCGAGGCACGAATACCATATCCCGCTCCATGTTCCCAGTGGCCTTATGGTGCTTGCCGTGGCTGATCTTCCAGCTGAAATACGGGACGAGCAGGGCAGAGTGGCAGAACCAACCCACGGTATCGTTAAGGATCTTGCTGGGCGAGAAAGACTGGTGACCACACTCGTGGGCAAGAACCCAAAGACCGGTGCCAAAAAGACCCTGGACAAAGGTATACAGAGCCCAGAGCACAGCTCGGAGAGGCATCGAAGGCACGTATTCCGGGGTGCAGAAGCGGTTGAACAGGTAGAAGGTGGTGGCTAAGGAGACAATGTCGCGTGCCACATAGTAGAGACCAGTTGCAGCTGACCTCTCGTAGCAGTGCTTGGGAATGGCATCTCGGATGTCCTTGATGGTGTAGTCTGGGAGCTGGAACTCGTTTCCGTAGGTGTCAACAAGCTTCCGCGCAGGCTCTTTCTGGAAGTCTTCGACAGACCCCAGGGAGGACAGGGATGTCGATGATGCCGAGGCAGTGGGTGAGTCGTTTGGCGTGGCTGCCGTCGAATTCGACACGGTGGAGGGCATGGAGTCGACAGTGGCGGTGCGTCTCATGGCGGCCTTGTGCGGCAAGGCTGTCGTGCTCATCTTGGCGGAGATTGTGGGCGGAAATGGACGATGAGTGCGGGTTGAGGTTTTGGGCGAGGGCGAGGGCGAGGGCGAGGGCGAGGGCGAGGGCGAGAACAGACGGTGCGCTGCAGCAATTACACACGCAGTTGCAGTATTCGATGGAATGGTCGGTTGAGAGGGAGCTTGCCGGTTGGGAGGCGGGAGCTGTTATCTTTCCATCCAGGAGGGACACGACCAATGAGTGGGGCCAGCACTCCAATGTCTCACAAGAAGCTGCGGAAAGAGTGAACGGCTGGCAGGAGGCAGCGCTGCAGGTGATTGTGGTAGTGGTGGTGCACGACGAGGAGCGAGGTTGGCAGTACTAAGTGTACAGTAGTTGAGCTGGCCTTTTCGACGAGAGTTTGCGGCCAGGGTCTCGCTGAATTTATTTCTCCTCCAAACTTCGGCGGCGCTGCTTCGACTGGGCATGCATTCCTGGCCTCCCATTGGCCCATCAAATGCATTCGTGCGAGCTGCTCGTCTGCCGGACATTCTTCGTTTCAGGTTTCGCGCTCGCCCTTGCCCCGCTATCTCACAATGGCAGCGGCAGCCAGCACTGCTGACTCCTGAGCAGAAAAGATGCCAAGAGCGTGGCCCTGCAGACGCGCGAGTGGCAGCTACGGGCATTGCGGGCATTGGCTCCAGCTCAACACGCACCGCACCGCACATCTGCTCTGCTCGCACGCTCTACTAGCAGCTACAGTAGTCTCTCGAGACCGCCTTTCTGACCCAAAAGATCACCAATGCGAAGCACACCAGAGCCAAGCGACTCAACCCGCCCGTCCGCCCGACGTGGAATCGTCCCAAACCCCGGCCGGGCTAATGGGGCGTCTGTGGCGTCTATGCTTCCACGCTCGTCGTTATCGTATCGCATATCGCATGTGCTGGGCACCAACGTTTTAATAGGCTGCTGTTCTCCATCGCCAAGACTCTGCCGTCCACTGATTTCCGGAGAAGCAACATGCACTGCTGCGCGAAAGGCGAGCGCAGTACTGTATCATAGTGTGCTTGATCAGCAAATTCATCTGGGAACAAGCGAGAATGTGCGCGCCATTTTCCAATGCTACAGCACATCAATGCCTCTCTTGGCCAATTTTACATCTTTTCGTCACCTGATCACCTCATCGTGTCATGCTCACATTGCTCTCCCGCCCAGTCCAAAGGTACAGTGTTGAAACCATCTCTCACTTTCACATGCCAATCATCTAGCCAGCCCATCATGTCAGCCCAGCTCACCGATCCCAGTCCTTGCAAGCTCGGTGCAAGCTCCATCCATTAAGGTCGATCGGGCCACACCTCTCTGGCGACCGCCTTAACCAGTGCCAATTTCTTGAACATCTTCTCCTCATCCATACCTTCAGCACCGATAGCAACACTGGCGAACCCGCATTGTGGACTGATACCGATGTTCTCCAGAGCTTCTTGCACACTTCGACCCTGACCTTTGGCGATGATCTCCGCAGCTTCCAACACCCGGCTCTTGATGAGCTCCTTGTCTTCCAATTGCGGATCCTTTGTGGTCACTACACCCAACACGACATTCTTGTGCTTTGGCAAGAAGCGAAGCGGCTCGAATCCGCCGCTGCGAGGATTGTCGTACTCCAGATAGAAGGTGTCATAGTTGAGCGTCTTGAAGAATTGCTCGGCAATCGCTTCGTACGATCCCTCGCTGAAATGCATCGACTTGGAGAAGTTTCCTGCGACGCGTCAGTAATGCACTGCCTATCGACAGACACCCATCTTACCTCTGCAAATGTGCAAGCCGACGTGAAGGTCGTCTGGTCGATCCGCAATGCAGTCGTTGTGAGCCTTCAGATACAGCTCGAACATTTTGTCAGTATCCTCGCCATCCGCACGAAGACCCTTCAGCATGTCTTCTGAGCAGAAGTACGCCAATGTCGGATCGTCGATCTGAATGTTGCGAAGACCTTCCTTGTACAGCGTCTTAAACTCCTGCCTATATGCGGCAGCAAGATCCGCGAAGAAATCTGCATCGTTCGAGTATGCCTCTGGACTGTAGCATTTGCCACGACCAAGACGCAAGTGGAAGTAGCACGGAGGGGGCATAGTGAATTTGCAGTCTTTCCACTGCTCTTGAGGCACGCAATCGCGTAGCAGCTTCCAGTTCTCAAGGTAAGGACTCTTCGAGTACTTGATCTTGCCATCGCAGATCGCTGCCATTGGATATTGCTTGCCAGCTTTCTTCAATGCCGCGATCGGTGCAGCAGAGAGTCTCGCAAGCTCCCATGGCACAGGACTGACCTCTTTGAAGCCATCCAGCTTCTCGAAGAAACCGCTGAAATAGTACTTGCGATCGAACTCGCCCGAGCATAATGCTCGCACATCGTTGTCCTGTTGCTTCTTCACAATCTCTGCAATCTCCTGCTTTTGCACCGTGCGAAGCTCATCGTGGGAAATCTGGCCTGCATCTGCCTTCTCTTGCGCTTCGGACACGCTGGCGGGCCGAATCAGTGAGCCAATGTGGTCGGCGTGGAAGGGAAGTTTGGTGACCGGCATGTTCGAAGTCTAGCGTGGAGGAGAAGCTGCCGAGGGACAAGGAGTCAGTGGTACACTTGAAGAGAGGCTCGCTCTTTCATATATGCTGTCGGCAGGTGTTGATAGCATTGTCTCTCGTAATCAACTGATCGAGCAACTCCTCCGAGAGGTCGTGTGAGCCGTCGTTCTTGCGAGCCTGTCTTCTCCACCACTCTGCGGGTCTTGAGCCATGTGAGTTCCAACCATGAAGCGCTCGATACGCTCCCGGCAGTTGAGTTGGACACTTGCCGATCAGCGCAGCTTCGCATCTTTCTGAATCGCCGAAGCGAAGCACACCATGAATTCAATTCGCATAGAGACAAAAGTCTCACTACAGTCAGCAGCCCAGGTTGATGCCGCACAAATATGGGCGCACACGAACGTTCCTGACGCCACCGATGTTGCGGCAGCTCTTGCCTGGGAGTGACCAGAGATGTAAAAACCTTAGTAAACTAGTAAATAGTAATTACTATAGTAATAGTAACATTACTATAGTAATCACTATTACTATCACTATTGCTGTTACCAGGGACCTTCGAGAAATAGTAATAGTAATAGTAACAGTAAAATAGTAATTACTATTCTACTATTATAGTAGTTTTTCTACCTATTCTAAGCTATAGAATTACTTAATAAGTATAATATAATACCGGTATACTTATATAAAGTACCTAATAGTCTATAATTACTTAATATTTCTCTCTAATATAGTTATACTATAATCTAAGTCTAGATTATAATAGAATTAAAAGCGATTTACACAAAGAAACCCCCTTAACACCCTTTACTCCTACTACTATATATAATACTACTATAATATAGTTGTCTTAAGCTAGACCTAGATAGCTAAGACTAGGCTAGTTAGCCTAGTCTAAGTCTATCTCTCTATCGGCTATCTCCTCCGAGTCCTTATTGTCTTCCTTACTACTATCTATCTCGATACTATTTCTAGTACTAAGAATCTCTTCTATAGTACTATAGCTTAGAGATTTAATCTCCTCCTTTGAGGCCGTACTTAAATAGGCCTCTATAAGACTCCTTTCCTCCTCTTTATACTCTAAATTAAAGAAGTCAAGTCTACTAAGAAAGTAGATATCGTCGTAGATATCCGTATAGAGATAGGTATCTCTAGCCGACTCGATACTAGTACTAATAGTAGTATAGTTCTCGGGGGATACTATACTACTATCTAGAAATAGTCGAATAAAAGCTATAATATTTATTAGTATAGAGATATTACTAGATCTTAAGGCTAGTATATAATACTTACTATAGTCTTGAAAGTATAGTGAGTATCTTAGAATATAGAGCGTAAGATATTCGATTCTAGAAACGATATCGTTATCGTTTAAAGAGTCGATATAAGCTCGAATATCTAGCCGAGAATTAAACTCGTCTAAATTATCGATAGAGAATACAAAAGCTAAAAACTATTAGTATAATACGTTAGGTTATATATATTAGGGTATAATACCTTTAATTCTCTTATATTCCTTAATATCGTACTGCTTAATCCGCTTAATAAAGTAGGTAATCCGAAGTCGATTTAGATATTCGACGATTTCTTTATTTCCTTTAGCTCTATCACTTAGCAAGCTATTAATAATAGCCCTAATAGTTTTGTCTATGCGGCTAGACGCTACTATAGGACTCTTATTAATAAACTTATTAATAAAAGTAATAGAGGTTAAGGTATCGTCGAAGGTATACATTCTAATAATAATAAAATTAGTATATTACTAAGTAAGTAGTTTCTTTTATATTAGTAGACTTACTTCGTATTATAGTAGTAGTCTACTATTAAATAGACGTCTTGTAAGAGTATAGCGTAGTAGAGAGTAGCGTAGTTCGTTATAGTCTCGTATACTAAAGTAGTATAGAAAGAAGAAAGATCTTTAGAAGGGAAAGGACGAAGTATATATATTACTCTCTCGTCTTCAATTAAGGTTTATATACAATAATATGACTATATTTAGTTACTAAATTATAATAGTATATTTAAATAAATTTATTTATTTATAATAGTATATTAGAATAATATTATAATATAATATATTTATTCTAAAATAATATATTATTCTATTATTCTAAGATACTATTATAAATAAATAAATGAATTTAAATATACTATTATATTATTATTACTATATATAGATAGATAGATAGATATTTCATTTGCCTATTGTAGTGCCTTTCGGCCTATGTAGGTCTGTTTCTATATATTGTTTTAGGTAGGAAACTAACTTAGTTAGTAAAAACCTCCCTCCTGTTCTATTTATAAGTATTGATCTTCCTCGTTTCTTTGTTTTCCTTCCTCTAGGGTATACTAGTGTTATAGTTGTTACCCTCTAACTACCTTGCCTACTGCCCTACCCTTCTTTCCCCCTCTTCTTCCCTCCTTCTTATCTACTCCTTAGTTTCCCTTACTAGTGCGAATTGTTGTACGAATCCCTATTTAATAATCTACTTTACTATCCTCTTTAGGTCTTCTTTGCTCTAGATTAGCTTATCGTATTCCCTTTCTATTGCTTTTAGTCTCTAATTACTTCTGCCTTCTAACTATTAAGGGTAGACTAGCAGTATATACTTAGGGTTCTAAGATTGGTAGCTATATTAGTAAGCTCTACTTTTAATTCCTAGGACGTTTCTTCTAAATAGGTAAGATCTAAGTCCTATATGTTTAGATCTAATTTGGATAGCTAGGCTTGCCTCGGCCCTGTTTAGGTCCTTATAGAGCTAGTAGTTATATTAACCAAATTTGATTAGTGCCTTTAGGGTTCCTAGTCTGACTTATATTTTGTTCTATTCCTGCTCCTATAGGTATCTAGTAATTGATTCTACTAGGCTTTGTTTCTCTCCCTTTAGCTTGTCTTCCTTTAGCCTTATATTTAGTCCCTAAAGCTCTTTCTCTAGTATTTCTCTTATTAAGACTCTATATTACTCTAGGTCTTTAACTTTCTAGGGAGTTATTTATAGTCTGTCTCGCCTCCTAGTCCGAATATACTAGGCTTTTATCTTATCTAGTGCCTTTTAGATAGTCTGTTAGGCTAGGTATTCTATTGTCTTTGCTATATATTAGTGTCTTAGTCCCTTGAAGTATTGTTTAACTAGTAGGATCCCTGATTCCATTTCTACTACCTTTATTAGTATAGTTTTATATACTACTAGGATTTTCTTTAGGCTTTAGGTTTAGGACCTACTAACTGGTTGCTTAATCCTCTTTAGTGTTTTCTCCTAGGCTGTCTATATCTGTACTCTATATAGCATTGCTAGCTTGATAATTGCTTTATATATAACTTTGGCTTTCTCGAATGTAGCCCCCTATATAGAGGCTATAAGCCTATTAATGGATTGTATATTAGCATCTGCCCTCTACTTTGCCTTCTTTACTTATAGTCCCTAATTCAGTTTTAGATCCAGCTAGATCCCTAGTACCCTAAGCTCTACTAATAGTTGGGTTTCAAAGCCTTAGATAGTAATTGATTGCTTTATATTATAGGTTGATTTGGCCTTGCTAAAGTAGATAAGCTAGTACTTTTCTAGGGCGAATTTTGCTCTATACCTCCTTACCTATTTTTTATACTCCTAGTGCTTCTCTTCTAGGATCTTGTAGTTAGTTTCTATTATCTTAGACTAGGCTAGGATGTTTGTGTTATCTACAAACCCTAATACTAATATGTTTTTTGATTCTAGGAGTAGGAGTAGGTCTGCTATAAAGATAAGGAAGAGGATTAGGGAGAGTATTAATCCTTAGGGGATTCCCTTTTTAGTTAGTATTAGGTCTGATTTGAATTTGCCTAGAATGAGTTATATTAATCTTTCCTATAGGAAGGACTAGATGAATTAGACTATCTAGTTTAGTATAGCTTTCTACTTAAGTATATATAGGAGCCTTTTATAGGAGATATTGTTAAAGGCTCCTAAGATATTAAGGGAGAGGAGGGTTGCTACCTAGTTTTGACTATAGTGCTAGATATACTTAATCTGTTCTATAATTAGTTCTATAGCTATTAGTATTAACCTCTTCGTTCTTCCTCCTATCTAGCCTTTAGGAAGGATGTTCCTTCCTTCGGTAAAGGTTGTTAGCCTTTTAGCGATAATTTTTTCTAGCACCTTGCCTATTATATTAAGTAGGGCTATTAGTCTATAGGCCTTAAGCTATATATAGTCTTCCTTCTAGGGCTTCCTTAGTACTACTGTTAGGGACTTCCTAAATAGTCTTAGGTAGTGTCCTAGTGCTAGGCTTTATAAAAAGATATTGGCTAGTGCTAGGGCTAGCCCCTTCCTATATACTTTTAGAAGTTTGTTGTAGATCTTATCTTCTCCTAGTGCCTTATTGCCTAGAATTTTCTTTAGGATCCTTTCAATGGTTTCGGGTTTAACTTAGGTATCTCTTAGTATACCTAGTAGTAGAGTCTCTTATTCTTTCTCCTTTATATCTAATAGGTCTGCTTATACTTTTCTATAGAAGAAGTGTTAGCCTAGGGCTCTTGCTTTCCCTTCTATTATAGTCTACATTTGTCCTTATTAGTTTATAATATCCGGGAATTGTAGTAGTATATCCTTGTCCTGTTTAGGTCTTCTTGCCTATTTAGCTATCCTCTATATCTCCTCTAGTTTCTTTATAATTATTCCTATTATAGATCTCTATTCTTGTATCTTATCTTTCTTAATCTAGATCTTCTTTTCCTAGTAGGCTTTATTATAGTTGTCCTATGCTTCCTAGGTATAGGTTTGTATCTACTGCCTCCTAGCCTTTCTTACTACTTTAACCTTCCTTATATACTTACTAGTCTAGTATAGTTGCTAGTATAGTAAATGTTTCTTTACTAGGGTATGCTTTCTAGCTACCTGTTTTAGGATTCCTATTAGTTCTTCTACTGCCTTATTAATGTCCTCTAGCCTTAGTAGGTGCTTTATTGAGAGTTCCTCTAGTTTTGGGTCCCTTTCTAGTTCCTCCCTAATCCTACCCTATTAGGTAC